AATAAATAAATAAACAGGGGCATAAACATTACCTGCTGGCAACTTCGTTGGCGGAGGTAATGGGATCTTTAGTCAAGGAACATTGTGACCAAGTTTGACAAGTTAGTAATTAAAACTATGGCCTGCAGATGAATAAATAAAAAAATGGTTTTTGTTAATTGTCACCATGACTTTTGACCCTGATCCTTCAAAATTTTAATCAGCTATAGATCTTTAGGTAAAGGAACAATGTGGCCAAGCTTGATGAATTTATGATAAAAACTATGGGCTGTAGGAAAAATAAATACATAAAACATAAATAAATAAAGATGGGCAAAACATAACCTCCTGCCAACTTCATTAACAGAAGTAATAATTTAAAAAAAAAAAAAAACTAACAGAACACTTAAGCAGTTAAAGAGTTTTTACAGGAATCAATCCATAAGTGAACCCGAAGAAGCAAGGCCAAACCCATATTCTAGAGGCTCCAAATACCGGTCGCGACGACGCCGAATCAAAATTAGCGTTACAGCCTTAAATTGGCACTTTTTTATCTTTCGTGGGGAACACCCACCTTTATTCAAACAAATTTACATAATTTCTTTATCATCATCATCAATTACATATAAAATACATTCCTCAATAAACATATGCCTAATAAAATACAACAAAATAACCTTGATATTTAGTAACAATATTAAAAATAAAATACAAATTTCAACTTTTCACAAAACAAAGAAGAACATTGAAAATCCCAGTATATAATATGAGGCAAGTCATTAATATGAAGCACATCATTATACATCGTATGCTTTACAACCGAAATTCTTCTTTTAATCAAGGGTTAGTTAGCATTAAGGCCATTTATAAAATATGAGGATAAAAAAAATACAGAAATCAATACGCAAAATAGTATCAAAAAAGTGTAAGAGAGTAAAAAGATATTACTTTAATTTTTAAGAAAGCGTTATAGATAATGTCTGTTATTTTTTCAGTTAGAAAAAGGGTGTGAAGTAATCTATATCGCCACTTGTTGAAGGGTTTTAAAATGTTTGCCTTGTAGATAGAAAAAATGCCAAGTGAGAAAAGATTGTCAACATATGTGTTGCCAATTCCAAGAATGATTAAAAAGTGCATTGTATCCGTATGTAATACTAAAACTTTCAATGTATTGCCATAGCTGGTTTGCCTCAGTACATTTATAAAAAAAGAAAGGTGTACATCATCCTCAACAACATTACATATTGGACACATATTAGAATCTAAGATTCCCCACATAAACAATATTTTACTTGTGGGAACGATATTGTGTAAAATTTTAAAATTCAATTGTGCTGATTTGTTTTCTTTAATTGATTTTACTTTCCATGTAAATTGAGGACTCCAAAACATTTTCCCATTTTTTTTGGCACGTTGAAGGTTCCATATAAATTTGGTTAATAAAACAGATATAAAATTTACAATTCATATTGCACCAATCATTTTGTGGTCTAGTATTTCCTGACCGCCCACTATTCCCTTTTTTACCAAAGAAAATAAATGTTTTCCATGTGCTAGGAATGGCACTTAGTAGACAAGAGTATTCTGAGATCCAGTTGGACTTGAGTTGTAGTTTTTTCAGTAGCTCAAGTGTTGTAACAAATCTATAGCCTATTACTCTATCTCTAATAGTATTTATACCTGATCTAATCCAATTTCTAAACAGCAAGGAAATCCCATTAAATTTTTTTATTTTATTACCCCAAATTTGTTCGTCTAACACTTCTTCATAGCAAGTTGGCAGATGAAGAACACGCTGATTCAGGTGTGCTAAATCGTAAAGTAACTTTTCATAAAATGTAGGTGTTTTCTTTAGAACTTGCCATTTCTTACATAATGAAATGTTCATAATAATATTATGTGAACCAATTTTATCTAAGATCCAGAGAGGCAGATATTTCCACATGACACTTAAGCTAAGCAATTTTCAAACATTCAACCTGTGACCTAAAATCTGGAGCTTTTATGCTTCCAAGGCTGTAATCACCAATTAGTGTTAGTCTTTTTATTTTTTCTGTCGTCTTATTCCACAGAAAATCAAAAATAATCTTTTCAACTTGTTTTATATAAAGTCCTGGCATTTCAATAATACTTGCATTGTATATAAGTTTTGAAAATCCAAGTGTTTTTAATAATGTACCGTAACTTTTTCAAAGATGGTCAAGTTTCTTTTTTGCCATGAAGAAAGTACGCGTTTTTTTTTTCAGACCAGTTTTTAATGCGACAAAAAAGTCGATTATGACCAACATAAATACCAAGTATTTTAAAGCCATTGTAAACCCACTTTATGTCAAACGGTTCATCTTTTCTTATTTGACATTTGTTTTCTTTTTGTTAAGGCTTAAACCAGAAAGCTTTCCAAACTCTTCAATTTTCGAGATATTCCTTTAAATCCACAAATCATCTATCACAAACAATACCATATCATCAGCTAGTTGGGCTATTTTGACTTCAATTATTAAGTATTCTTTACTTGGTAATATGATACCATTAATCAGAGCATTACTTCTTAATTGTATTGCCATGATTCCTGCAACCATTATAAATAGCAGCGCAGACAAATGAAGGACAGCCTTGCCTGATGCCCCTATTCATTTTAAAACTCCTAGATAGCCAACCATTATTCGTTATAATGCATTCCGTTTCAGTATACAAAACATTGACCCAATCAATGAATGATGGGCTAAAGTTAAAGTGACGAAGCGTTTCCATCATAAAATCCCTGTTTACCGTGTCGAATGCTTTACTAAAATGCAAGCTAATCATTGCGCCTGTTAACCATTCTTCATTCGTGTATTCGATCAAATCTTCTATTAATCTAATGTTTTCGCAACTGAAACGACCTTTTATTTAACCCTTTGGATCGTTACTAACTATACTGGTTATAAAGTTTTATACTCTTTTTGTTAAAACAAAGGCAGCTTTTTTGTAATCTACATTCAGGAGAGTTATAGGCCTCCAGTTGTTTAAGTCTTCATGCTCACCCCTTTTAAAAATAAGATTTATTACGCCTCTACCTTGTGAGTGGGACAACGATCCAGTTTTCTGGCTCATGTTAAGAGCATCGCACACTATTGGACCAATTTTTGGCCAGAATTGCTGGTAGAATTCTACAGGGAAGCCGTCTGTACCTGTAGTTTTTTTTTTCTTTTATAGCATTATGGTATTCACTTAAAGTAATATTGCGTTGACATTCCTGTTTTTCAGCATTTGTTAATTTTTTGGATTTTAAGTATATTTCGACATTTTCAGCATTAGATAATTTTTTTGGATTTTATTGATTTTAAGTATATTGCGACAGTTTTCTTTTGTATATTCTGGGATGCGTATAATTTTTCAAAATGTGAACTTGCTCAGACAAGATTTCACTTGCCCTTTGGACATATGTCCCATCCGATCTCTTTGTTCTCCGAATTTGCTTCTTAATACCATTATTTCTTTCCAGACCAAGAAAATATTTTAATTTTTTTTCTCCCTCCTCCACCCATTTGGTTCTTGATCTAACTTCGGTACCTTTGACTTCGTATGTGTATATCGATTCTAAATTTCGAAAAACTGACTCCCAACACGATGCATACATTTCAATACTTGGAGTATGTATTATACTTTCATAAACAACTATCTTTGAATAGAATTAAAATTTATTAGGTACTCCGACACGCAAAAAATTACAGAAATGGTTGTACAAAGCAAAAGTAAAACGAGTGTAACAGTTAAAACCTAAAAACAGTCTAAGTCAACGGAGAACCATGATTGCCCATAAAGCTCATTTTGACTGGGATCCCAGAGGAAAATAAAAAGCTTTGACAAACATCAAAAAAAAGTTCAAAATGTACAATACAATAAGAAAGGTAAAAACATTAAAAAATAAAAGTTAAAATATAACAAAATAACAAATTTAAACATTCTAAAATTCAAAAACTTTTAACTTTTGAAAGAATAAAAAGTAAAAATAAATGACAAAATTGCACAAGGTTTATTATTTGCAGGTAGGGACTCTCGTGAACAGCGCCCCTTTATCGACTACATTTTGTAATTTTTTTTTAATTTTAGCCATATTAAATATAAAATTGTACTTTAAATCAATCTTAGTTCTTCAAAGTTTACTTAGGATGATAAATATAAATTTCTCATGTATGCATATATTAAAACGTTTGGTAGCGTTAGAAGTATCAGATTTAGATAATAGCATTTCCAGAAAAATGTTTAATAAAACCAGGTTTTTAATTTTATTTTATTTAAATCAATTGGATGGCAAGTTTGTAAGGTTTGATCTTAACCTCAGTGTATATTCCTCTATACACTGAGGTTAAGATCAAACCTTACAAAGTTGCCATTCAATTTTGTAAGGTTTGATAATAACCTCAGTGTATATTACAGTGAAACACTGTTCCCTGATAAAAACCTACCTTGTTCATCCCCGATAGTATGGTCATAAAATGGTCCTGTGCTGGTGACGAAGCGGTTGTGGAGACTCCATTCATAAGTATCACTATTTCCAGTCTTTTCAAGATAGAAACCATCCTCAAAGGTGCAATTGAATTCTACAAGATATTAAAATCACTTTCACTTATTTGAGAACTTAATATTTTGTTTATCTAAAGTACATAAAGAAACAATATAAATACCGTCTTGAATGGTGCAGGGTCCGTTGTTGATTTCAATATCATCAATGGCAAGAACTCCATCGCTTCCATCACGTCCGTGGGCTTCAAATGATATCTAGAAAACAACAAATTTTTTAGAAAATAATATGGGTATTCTTGTTATTAGATTTTTTGTATGATTAGTTTGGTCATTTTTGGCGATTTCGTGACCGCGTATTTGTCTTCCTTGACGGTTAAAAACAAAAATAGAGATGTCCCTCGCAGAAATGTGGGGTGAGAGCTTTAAAATTAAAATGTTTTGTCTGCTTTAGTGCCTGGATTTATTTGGGGGTTGGAATTCATTATTTAATGTCGGGTCAATGATTTTACTTATAGTCCAGCAGTTTAGGCAAAATGTTGACTCAACTGTGCACAAACGCACAAAGCTCAAAAAGCTGCTGGCCAAGACGATATATATGATAAACTGCATTAAAAATTTACTGTTCAACTTGGGCCATCAATTTGGAAACATGCACTTATTATCGCTGTTAAAAACTAATCTAAAACAAGACCTTAAATGATTACTGCGCTATCGCACTCCCATCCCTTATTATAAATTGTTTTGAAAAAAAAAATCATATCAAAAAAAATTAGAAAACTTGCTCGACCCAATGTAATTTGCTTACAGGGCTCATAGAGGAGTAAACGATGAAACAATAATACTTACAAATGCACAAACATCTATATGCTTTAGGTAGTCTATGTGCGCCTCCTGTTTGACGACTTTGAATCAGCCTTTAGGACAATACAACTATTCGTTCTAGTCAATAAACTTGAAGCCCTTAATAACAATCCATCTATTATTTTGTGGAGTAAAGACTTTCTAACAAACAGGTCTCAAGAACGTAAAGTTATACATTATTCATCATGTCCCCTGTGTAGAAATACTGGCTCCACCCACGGCTTTGTCCTCTTCCCTATATTATATAATATACATTTCGCAACTGCCATAGGCTCAAATACGCAGCTTATGCATGCATTTGTGGGTCAGATCAAATATATCTCATCCCTAAATAATTATTTTCTTAAACTTGATGTGTTCACTGCTTGGTGTAATTTCAATTTCTTGAACTTGAATGTTACAAAACCAAAGAAACGTTAGTTGATTTTGGAAGAATGCATGTGAACATCCAGCTTTCAATATTAATAGTGTTATAATAGAAAGAGTTGACGTTTACAGGTATCTTGGTACGAAGATAGAGCATAAATTTCACTGGAATAAAATACAAGTAATCTGTATGAGAAAGGTCAACAAAGATTAAACTTAATGCTACAACAAAGTCAATGTTAATGGTACTATCCTAGAATTATTTTATATATTTATGGTGCTAAGTATGATCTCTTTCGGCTGTGCTGTATGGGGTGACAGCCTAAATCTTAACGATAAATATGTACTTAGGACAATTGTGTGACAGGCCAGTAGGATACTTAATGTTTCAGCCGATCACCTCTATATTAATTATAATGAACCTATCAGCAGAAGTGTAAAACAAATTTTATAGCAGAATAACAATCCACCTAATGCCGAATATAATTACTTGCCTTCCAATTCACGTCTTCAAAATGTATTTTTGTGTTCGTAACAATTGTTACGAACACTCATTTGTACCTCACTTTGCTGTGACTTTTAACTAATTGCAGTGTAGTAGGTAGGGATTCCTATCTACTGGTGTCTAGATAATGTATCCGTTTAAGTTTTGTCTTTGAATGTATATACTTATGATTATGTGCCTAATATATTCTGCCGTGGTTCGGAAGAACGCATTATAAGCCAAAATCATAGTTTTAAGATATTGAGCAAAACACGTTTCTTGTAAGCCTTTTGTTGTGGAAATTAATTATATTGACTTTTATTGTGTAAATGTACAACTACACAAATGAAAAACATACTAAAGTACTTTTTTTGATGATTTTTTTCCATAACCCATTCAAAATGGACATAATGCGCTTTTCCAAATTAAAACAAAAATCAATGAAGCATGAAAAATCTTATGGTAGGCATTATATCCAGTTTTGCCAGTAGAAAGCATGCTTTTGACTTATAAGAAGTTAAAGATAATTTTCATGAGGATTTTAAGGGTTTAAATTTCATTATATGTCTAAATAACGTAAAAAAACAACATTTGTAAGATTTTCTTTTAAAGTATTATTTACCAATATTATTGCATTCACACTCATACAAGATTTACAATGTGTTTCCGATCTGATTTAGTAAATAGAATATGGTAAAGTACACTGTAAGATGTAAATTAAATAATATCAGTAACCACTACAGAAAGAACAGACAACATCATTGTTAGTGAGTTTTCACAATATGGATACCCTTTTTTTTAATTTAATAAACAAAAAATAAATACCCCGGAATTTCTAAACGCACATCCTCAGGCCCATATAAATTTGTGCTTCCTTAAATTATAAGAATGTGCTCTCATTTAAATAAATAAATATATATATATAAGCATTTGACCATACACCCCAGCAAATCGAAAGAATAAAAAAGGACATATGTAATGTATTTAGAGAGTACGATTTGAAAATAACAATAGACGCGAACAAGAAAGTGATTAACTATCTTGACGTCACACTGAACCTAAGCGACGGAACCCACAGACCCTGTCTCTTATACACATCTAGATGTGTATAAGAGACAGCAACAAGCCCCTGTACATACACTCAAAAAGTAACCACCCACCCTCCATTATAAAGAACATCCCGGAAGCCATAAATAGAAGACTCTCTAGCATTTCCTCTAACGAAACTGTATTCAACGACACCAAGGAACCTTACCAAGAAGCCATAAAAGAAAGTGGATACGAGCACAAATTAACGTATGAACCCACAGCTAAAAGCACACAAAGAGACAACACAAGGAAAAGAAAAAGGAACATCACCTGGTTCAACCCTCCATACAGCAATAACGTAAAGACAAGAATTGGACATGAATTTTTAGAAATTGTGAATGAATGCTTCCCACCCAACCATGCACTAAGGAAAATATTTAACCGAAACACTATCAAGATAAGTTACAGTTGTATGCCGAATATGGGTTCAAAAATCTCTGCACACAACAAATCAGTACTTAATAATACCACAATCCGCACAGATAATGAAGTCAAAGAATGCAATTGTCGCGACGTGAGCCCCCTATCCAACAAGTGCCTAACCAAAGGAGTTGTTTATCAGGCCACAGTCATACGCCGACGCGAATTCCTATAACAACATACTAACCAAAACTATAACCAAGGCGTACAAGAAAGCAGAAGCTAATGCTGCAAGTACCATCACAACCGAAGAAACTAAAATAGCAAGGAACCTAGACTTAGACGACAGGATTGAAGTAATGGCAAAACGAAACGCATTTGTGACACTAAAGGACCACAAAGATAACTTCGTAAAGAAACCGACATGCAGACTAATCAACCCATCGAAATCAGAAATAGGAAAGATAAGTAAGCAAATCCTGGAAAAAATCAACAAAAAAATAAACCAGAAGACTAAACTTAACCAATGGAGAAATACAAGTCAGGTCCTAGAATGGTTTAACAACATCACCGATAAGCAGAACCACTCATTTATATGCTTCGACGTCACCGAATTCTATCCATCGATTTCCCATAACCTACTTTCTAAAGCCCTCGACTTCGCCGAATCCTACGCAGAAATTACAGAAGAGGAAAGAAACATAATTGTACAATCCAAAAACACTCTACTATTCAACAACCAAACAGCCTGGAAAAAACAAAACACCGAGACAAATTTCGACGTGACGATGGGTAGTTACGACGGAGCAGAGACATGTGAGCTAATCGGCCTTTTCATACTGGCAAAATTAGAACCAAAATATGGAAATAAGATTGGCCTCTACAGAGACGACGGACTGGCAGCATTTGACGATACACCCCAGCAAATCGAAAGAATAAAAAAGGACATATGTAATGTATTTAGAGAGTACGATTTGAAAATAACAATAGACGCGAACAAGAAAGTAACTATCTTGACGTCACACTGAACCTAAGCGACGGAACCCACAGACCCTACTTGAAGGAAAACAACAAACCCCTGTACATACACTCAAAAAGTAACCACCCACCCTCCATTATAAAGAACATCCCGGAAGCCATAAATAGAAGACTCTCTAGCATTTCCTCTAACGAAACTGTATTCAACGACACCAAGGAACCTTACCAAGAAGCCCTAAAAGAAAGTGGATACGAGCACAAATTAACGTATGGACCCACAGCTAAAAGCACACAAAGAGACAACACAAGGAAAAGAAAAAGGAACATCACCTGGTTCAACCCTCCATACAGCAATAACGTAAAGACAAGAATTGGACATGAAAATTTCTACTGCGGTACCAATATACATAGGCCTATACAATACAGAGCTTCTAATCACCTCTATGAATAATAATGAGTATACTAATTAACCTGTTTATCAATAAACTATATAACAATATAATTTATACAGCAATTAACAGTTCCACCATGCATGATTGTTATTCTGCAGTCTCATTCAGAGCATAGCACCTGATGATTGAGGAAGTACCTCATGAAACAGCCTGTAGTGCAATAAAATGTTGAATTTGTAACCAAGCGTCATCTTGTTTTGATTTTATATATATATATATATATATATATATATATATATATATAATGTAAATTTAGCACAGATAATACTTCTAAATTCCAAGCATTGACTTTGAAAGTCTTTAGTAAAGCTTATTTAGGTTTGACATGTATGTGATTTAAGTCTCATATTAATCAGCCACAAAAAAGCAAAACCACAAAAACCACAATTCGTCGTATTTTCTACATAATAGTAGACTCTAAAATCTATTAAATAAGCCTTTGAAACCTCTAACTTGCCAAGGTTTCCAGGCCTTAGCCCCCTGGACTACTTTCGGTATATTTTGAGAGAGGTCCGACCACGCCCAATTTGCTCTCGTTGAGGACATTGCCCCAACCCATTCTCGCAGGAGACCTTGGATCCCCAGTCGGCCAAATCCTGGCGCCACCCAAAGTCTAGTTGGTGTGCTGTCCAGTGAGATCAAACAAGACGCTAGGAGGGACAAAAACAGTTGGCGAAAGAGTACACCAAGGGTGTATTCTTCTACCCACTTCATTCAAATTGTATGCTGAATATATCATGCGACAGGATCTGGGTGGCTGGAATGGTGGGATCTCAATTGGTGGTTTGGCAGCTTAACCAGTGGCGGCTCTAGGATATAATCTATGGAGGGGGGGGGCTAAGATGTCCGACTGGGGGGGCTAAGTATTTATGGGTGTAACTATAGCGCGCAGCGTTATATGAGGGCCGAAGGCCCGAGCCGGGGTAGGTATGGGAAGGGGTATCCTCTCCTCCCAAAACGAGATCCTTTTAAAAAGTGGGATTTCTAGATGGCCGAATATGGCTGGGATGGGAAAACTAGGCCTATTTTTGTTTGTTTCTTTTTTCGGTCCGACTGCCTGACGAGCTTTGGCCGATAGTGGGGGGGGGGCTTGACCAACCCGATGGGGGATTTAGCCCCCTGCTCCCTCCCCCGCTGGCACCGCTACTGAGCTTAACAGCTTGAGATACCGAGACTATAAACACTCTACTTCCAGTCTATCTGTTATTACTTGGCAGGGTAAAACGTGCAAAGCCATGGACTTCGGCTGTTCTATTCCAACAGTTCAATTTTCTTGGATCCCTCAATTACAAAAGAGAATGCCATAAAGATATAAGAAGCCGATTGGCCATGGCAAGATCTGAAATGACAAAGCTCCCTAAAATCTAGGCGAATTGAAGCATAACTAAGGCATTAATCTTCTCAAACGCTACTTAAGCATGTAAATCTGGACCCTGAAAATTGCAAAAAGAAATATAACTTAGGATATGATAGGGGATAGGAGTATTTTTGGTGTGAATCACACCAAGGATAATCCACTAACTCCGAAGACTTTTTCCAGTGGGGTCCTTCTGGTGGTGATTTGGGCGGTAGTAACACCAGGACACAATCTCCTACTCGAGATCTTTTCCGAATAGTGCTGCGTTATTTAACGTGCAAATGAGGGAATTGAACCGGGGACCTAGAGGTATCAACGGTTTAGCGCACACAAAGTGGCTAGCACTAGTTTAGCCGACTGAGCTCAGCTACTCTATTTTCAGCTACGGTATTGGCGCAGAATGCTAGGCATCTCCTGAACCATGAAAAGAACAAATGTTAGTTTACTTCGGGAGATCAATCTCAAGAAGAGATTGCTTAGTGTAATAAACGGTCAAACCCGCTCCAACTTTGGCCATGTTGCCAGACGACAAGGAGCCTGTTTAGTAAACGTAATAATGCAATTCAGGATCGAGGGCACTTTAAGGCAAGGTCGTCCAAGTCGATATGGATAGACAGGATTAAACCTTTGGTTGAACAACCTCTGCAGGCAGAGGCTGTATCAATTAGCTGCAAATCGACCTATATAGCGTGCCATCATTGAAGCCACGAGCCGTCAGACAAACTTACACATAATGATATAAACTTAACACCAGCACCACTAATACAACGCGCTGAATGGAATGTTAGTATTGTAATTGTATTACTGTATCATCACCAGATTCGAATCAAAATGTGGGCTAAATGAATTGTACTTTAAGTAAATTTCTATTGGCCTACCTTATAGTTATCATACGGTGTAAAATATACTTCTGCTACTCTCCACACGTCAAATCGATCTGTAGTATGTTCGCTCCAAATTAAACTCATGGGTTCGTTCTCCGAATTAACCAAAAACACGAAAATTTGTCCTGCGTCTTTACCCTTCACGCAATACCAAAATTTCAAACAAAGTTTATCGCCCGTTTCCGACGTCAGTAGTTTAGAGAAAATGGTGGCAGTTTCATGTAGACGGAAATTGTCTGCGCTTCGGAAGGCATATTTACCTGTGAGGGTTTTAAAAATAACATAAACAAAGCTCATAAAAGAATACAAAACGATTCATTAAATATAGAGTCTTTTAAAAAGACATTAAAAAAAAGTTGGTACAAGATTAAAGACAACGAGAATAAAAATACAACTATTTTTAAACACGCCTTTACAAGAATCTCCACAGTAGAACACCTTATTTTCAAAAATTCTAAAAATTACGGAACAGTGAGGCAAAATGGTTACTTACGAAAAATAAATACACTTTTGCAAATTCTGAATCTTTCCTAATATTTTTTATTTGCTGTGTGTGCTCCTCAAATGTGCACTTAACTTTGAATTAACTACAACAAATTCAATTTGTTGTTGGTCTGTTTGTTGGCAAACTTATCTGGATCTCCCCTATACCAACATTTTGTGTCAAATTCTTAGGCCTATCAATACCTATTGCTTGTTTTTTACTATTGCTCTTATCCCTTCTCACCACTCTTGTATGTAGTTTGCTGCTTCTTGCTCAATTGCATGAGCCTACAGGAGAAAAATAGACCTTGGGATGATTTGCAAAGCCGTCACTCACCTGTGCTATATACTGCCGTTGAGCTTATTTAGCTTTGTAGCAATGCTTAGCATAGTCAACCTAACAATAGGCTTAGCCATTTTAACATGGAGAACAATTTCCACTCTTGGAATTAATAGACACAGAAAAACTCATAGAGGGATCAGGTAATTGTTCTGATAAAAAGAATAGAGAAAGAAAGGAAAGAAGCGAATTCTCTTGATAAGTTTGTATGTTTAAAATATTTCTTAAAGGTTTTCATGGCGAGTATCAATAAACATATAACAAAATTTCGGTACACCATGTGTAAATAAAATAAAAGAATATGGTTTTTATTAAGATAAAAACCACTGGTTGGTTGTCTCGAGGTTTCGGTAAGATTGCTCTACCGTCATCAGGAGATTCTCATGATGACGGTAGAGCAATCTTACCGAAACCTCGAGACAACCAACCAGTGGTTTTTATCTTAATAAAAACCATATTCTTTTATTTTATTTACACATGGTGTACCGAAAGTTTGTTATATGTTTATTGATACTCGCCATGAAAACCTTTAAGAAATATTTTAAACATACAAACTTATCAAGAGAATTCGCTTCTTATAATCCTTATGGGCGCGTCGTTTGTGAATTCAAAACTTAAAATGGGACACCGGAACTGCCAAAGACAGCTAGATAATTGGCTTAAGTCCGATGGTCCGATCATCGCTACTGCTTAATTAAACTGGTATTTCAACTAGGCACGCGCACACTTATTAAGTAAAAAGTACCGCAATGGAACATTCATGTCATATAATAACCGTAGCTACTTATAAAGTCATAGTTAAAAATTAAATATAATTTACAGAGGGTAAGAGGGGAATCCAGGGCATAATTATCTGCCCAGGTATATGTGGCATGTGGGGCCCATGTAGAATTAACATAGGCATGCCCATAATGCATTTTCCCAGATAGTTGCCACACGAGCCCATAATGTGCCGTACATGTGGGTATTCCTATAACTATTTGCCCAATTATTTGGCATATGGGGCCATGTAGAGTAAACACATCTAATAATTGACACATAGGCCTTATGTGGATTAAGAATATGAACATTCCCATACTTATCTACCAAGGAATTTGGCATACGGGACCCATGTAGATTGCACATGGGCATGTCCATATGAATTTTCCCAGATATTTGACATATGGGCCACATGTAGATTAAATGTGGGCATTCCCAAAGTTATCTTCCCATTTGTTTGGCATATGGGGACATGTAAATTAAACATTATCATCTGCCCAGTTATTTGGCATGCGGGGCCCATGTAGATTGAACAACAAGAGCATGCCCATATGTATTTTTCAAGATATTTGGCACATGGGCCCCAATGTAGATTAAAGTGGGAATTCTCATAATTATCTGCCCAGTTATTTGGCATGTGGGAGCCCATGTAGACTGAACATGAGCATGCCAATATGGATTTTCCCAGATATTTGGCACGATGGCCCCATGTGGAGTAAATAATGGGCATTTTCCTGAATTATCTGCCCAGTTATTTGACATGTGGGACCCATGTGGATTGAACCTGGGCATGCCAATATATATTTTCCAAGACATTTGGCACAGGCACCTCATATGGATTAAATATGGGCATTCCCATAATTATATGCCCAGTAATTTGGCATATGGGTCCCATGCAAATTAAATATGGGTCATATTGAACTGGCAATATATTTGGCATATGGGCTCCATTTGGATTAAATATGGGGTTCCCATATTTTCCTGCCCAGGTATTTAGCATATGGGTCCCATGTATATTATATACGGGCATGCCCATAATTATTTTCCCAGATATTTGGCACATGGGCCCAATGCGAACTTAATATGGGCATACCCATATTCAACTACACAGGTCTTTGGCATGTGGGCCCCATGTAGATAAAAATGGGCATGCCCATATGTATTTTCCCAGATATTTGGCACATGGGCCCCATGCGGGTTAAATGTGGGCATTTATATATTAATCTATCTAGGTATTTACCATATGGGGCTCATGCACTTTAAATATGGGCATTCTCATAATATGTATTTGCCTATATATTTGGCATATGGGCCCCATATGGGTAAAACATGGGCAAGGCCCATAATTGTGATTACCCAGACGGGTCCCATACAGGAAAAATATTGGGTAGCCTATAAGACTTTGTCCAGATAGTTAGCATATTGGGACAAATTGTAATTTTAACTAACAATATTAACTACAGCCCTGGCACAGGACGATTTTTTTTTTTGTCGAATTTCAGTGCTCTTACTTATTGGCCGATTTCAGGCTCAAAATGTTCTTATTTTGTTCTTATTTTACACACTTTTTAAAGATAGGAAATGATTACTGTAAATACTATTATTAATTTTAACACAAAATGTATTAACATAAAAGATCAACGTTTCGTGTCCATCATGAACGCATTTTTTAAAATCAAGTGAACAAAAAATAACATATGATAGAAAACCAAATGTAGGTGACATCATGGAGGAAATATTTTAAAGCCCCATTCCCGGCAAGATTTCAGTTGTTAAGAAAAATCTGATTTTTATATTATAAAGATTTATAAATGTAATAAAAAATTGCTAGTTTAACTGAATTTAGACATCCCTAAACATGAAAAAAAATGTAAAATAAGACTGAAATTTGATTATTTTTTTTTTTTTTTTTTTTGTGTTCCACACAAAAAACAAATGCGGATGAATTTTTCATGTTTGATTTTGCGGTCTGCGAAGAAATATAGTAGGCGCCGAAAACATTAGCCTATCCAACACTGCTAGGCTAGGCCTAGCCTTACCTCGATTTAGGTTCTGTTATCACACCTAACAACGGCCGACATGATATTTTTCGTACTAGCATTGACACTTGTGAAATATAATATTTCATAGAAAATATTTCAAATCTGTTAAAAAATTATTCTGACTGGGATTTTGGCAATTAAACAAACATCTCAGGCCTACTCGATCGATCGCAGTGTGCGAGGAAGTACAAAAACCAATTTCTTTAGAGAGGGCACACTTTATTGATTGTATACAGTATACATAAAAATGAGAGCGTTCCAGCGGATGCGATCTACAACCTCTGAATTTGCCTAGTAACGAAGAATTCGTCGAAAAAATGGGAATCTCCTATAAGAAATTGTCTGTATTTCGCGTAAAACTAAAATGTATGCCAATATTTTTCCATTGTTTATAATAAATAGAGTAATGCATGTGAATTTTTTTTTTTTTTAATTCTTTATCATTGGAATTTTACCGGGAAGGGGGCTTTACGACCTCAGTACGTACGTAGTACTGCCTAGCTAGTAGTAAGTACTGTCTCAGTTACCGTATGACTTACGAATTTCTCTTATATAGTACAAGTCATTTTGGAGATACATTGAGACTGGGACCCTAGCTAGAGGCTTGCCACAAACGCCCGTTTATTATACGAATTTCGAAGTTGTCCTGTGGTGTCCTGTGCGTAAGTAAGAGGCCTAGACTTCCAACCTTGAATTAATATCCCACCCTATAAAATGTAAACCAATTTTCTCTTAATTGCCCACCCTATTATTTTACTAACATGCGAAAGCTTTTGTTCTGTCCCAACTTAAACAGTTATATAAAAGAATATGCATTAATTGCATAATAATCTTTTTCTGTGTTAATTTTTTGAACCAACTATTTTGTGGGTTTTCATTTAATTTCTTCTTGTCATCTATTTTAGAAGCTTACAAATTCAATTTCTCTTTGTTGACAAAGAGAAGTTTTACGTTCATCGGTTATGATATTGATTAAACTATTTTTAAGTTCCAGGGGCGGATGCATAGTGGGCACGTGCCCCCTCCGTTAGCCACAATTTTTTTTTTAAATTTCAATGCAAATGAATGTCATGCGCTACTCACTTACCTGTTCTGAAACTGTTGTGCCCCCTGTTTGAAAAATTCTGGATCCGCCCCTGAGTTCTTCTATGCTACAATATTTCATTTTATCGTCTGCATAATAGTCTGCACCATAGTTTCGGATGTAAATGATTGCTATAGTGATTAGGGAACGGGGTTTACAGTTTGCATAATAAGATATCTCACTTTAATTTATCTTTAATTATTTTTTTTTCTTTAGAGTCGTCCATGATCGCTGGCACTTTCCGGACAAGTACACTCTCGAAGATGTCTTGGTGTCTGAGGCGCATGGTATTATTACTATGACGTGATGATCACTGAGGCATTTCCACTTCCGGGAGGTGCCGGCAATTGTTGGCGATCCCAAATAAATATAAAACTTAAAATGTTGATGTGTTTTCTTTGTATTCTGTGTGTGTATGTTCTGTATGTTTGGTTTTCACTGACAAGCCAACGCTTCCTTTGAAGCCTATATGTAATTTTTAATTTGTAATTTGTTATGGAATTTTCTGAATAAATGTAAACATATATTTAAAGGTTCGAATCAAATTAATCAAACTTGTTGATTCTGAATTCCTAACTCTAATATTAGTTTATTGTTAGATAATAAATACCGTATATATTTAATCCTTTTTTTTTTCTTTCGCAGGGAGAATCCCTATCTATTTTAATCATTTTTTTTTCTCACTCTTTTTTTCTTTTTATCATAGCATAGTTCACAATAATCGACATACACACGTGTATACACACGTAGAAGATTAGGATCCACATAACAAAATGCATGGGACATACATTCACGCATACCATTCAACTTAATATTCTTAAGTAGTTTTTATTTTTAAATCTTATTGCAATAAGAAAAAACTCAGTATTCTTATTGTAAATTAAAATAAATGTATAAAATCACAGAATTTATTTTTTTAACCATCATTTCATAAACATAATTCAGAGTTAATGCAAGGTTATACTTTTATTTATAATAAGCCTCTTAGTCTTAGATTCGATTTAAAAACAGAAAGAAGATGTTGATGTTTTCCATATCTGTATCTACCGATTGAGTGCTTTGCAATAAAATCAATCTAAATGTAATTAAAACGCTTTTCTTTGGTCTGGTATCCAAAAAGTATATCATTTATTTTTAACATAATAGATAGCCCACTATTTAGTCATTCAAGTTCAGATACTTCATCCCAAATGTGCTTTATGTGAGGGCAATCAAATAAAAAATGAAAAAAGTTTCAATTTCATTCCTTTCCTCGCATAGAAGACAAAGGTCATTGTCAAGAGATCGCTTCTACAAGGATAAATAATATGCAGCATTTTCCAGTTAGTACTATTTTACACCCTGGGATCATTTTATCATTTTTTAATAGCGATAGGTTTTTCCATATAGCCTCCCATTTAAAATTTATACATGGTAACTTTTCCGACCATTTTTGTTCACATTTCGATTTAATAAAAATTGTTCTAATTAACTCATCACGAGTGTGTTTTGTTCTGATTTCCGTTATGTTGAGAGTTTTGTTCATAGATTTAAAAACAAATATTTGGAGCCAGGTTACAATCTTTAGCTCCACTATTTCTTAATTTTTCCATTTTTTTGGGAGAGCATTAATGACTTGATAGTATTCTAGTAACATGTTTTGCTTCCTTTTACTAAACCTCCCACACAGGGTTTCGAAATACCATTGTCGTCAAATAAATATTTAACAAAAAATAATATCATTGGCGATCCAATTATAAAAATATAAGGTAGATAACTCATATTTTATACTTTCGTTAAGCGAAATGAAGTCAGGTAACTATTTAAATGGATCATGTTTAGTCCGCCAGAGTTTTTTTTTGTCCAATAACCGTTCTTCTTTTAACTTTGTCTTTGCTTCCCCGTAAAAATTTTAAAATTAGCGTTTCAATTTCTGTAATTACAGTGCCAGGGTCTTTAAAAGCAATAATGGGTACAGAGTTTGTGAGAACATGAGAGATTTTATCACTTTAATTTTACCTTCGAGCGTATAAGTCCCTTATCTTCCACGATTCTATAGTATTTTTGAGTTTATGGATTCTGTTATTCCAATTTTCTTCAATATCACTCGCGGATTTCGAGTTGGTAAAAAGGATACCTAAACATTTAATATGATCCCCACACTTTTCCAATGTATTTCGCCAATTCCATCTCTTCTGTTTTTGTTTGTCCCTAACTATAGACCTTCTGTTTTATTTTTGTTGAGAGTAAGACCTGAAAACAGTGCAAACTCATTTATAGTTTCTAAGGCTTTTGTAATCGATTTATCATTTTCGGCAAATATTGTAATGTCATCTGCAAAGAATGATATTCTTGCTTCTCTAATTGGGTATTCCGACATTGGAAGCTTTATTCCTTTGAACATTTTACACTGTCATAATAAAAAAAAGCGGACAACCTTGGCGTACACTACGATTCACATCAAAAATTTCAGATATCCATCCGTTATGATTAATACAACTTTGTGACTTACACATTAAAGTCTTAACCCAATTTATAAAAGAAGGACCATAAAATTTAAAACAGTTAGAGCGTTCAAAATGAAATTTCTATTAACATTGTCAAAAGCTTTACGGTAGTAAATAAATAATGCTGCACCTTGAAGTTTGTTTTCATTTGTCATATTAATTATATCATCAATTAATCAAATATTCTTTCCAATATACCTGCCTTTTACAAAACCCGTCTGGTCAAGGTGTATAATTGTTTTGATTACTTTTTGAATTCTTAAACAGAGTGTCTTTGTGGCTATTTTATAATCCGTTTATTATGGATATGGGTCTCCAATTTTCTAATAATTTTGGATTTCCTTTTTCTTTATATATTTAATATAATTTTCAACACATCCTGGTAGTTGAACAATTTTAAGTGTTGTTTCTCTGTCGAATACATCAAACGCTGGTAACATGTCGATCTCTATTCGCCTTTATATTTAGTACAACGCTTAATAGCATGCGATGACACCAGAAACACTTTTACCTGTCTTTTAAGCACATATACATGGTGCAGTAAAGCGATCAATAAGTTATCATCTCTTTTTTTAACTCTACTAAGGATAACAATAAGTGGTCTTAAGTTTTTTACTGTTTTTTTTTAATTGGTGTCTAAAATTTGAATAATACTCCCTCACCTATGGATTCAATATATTGTTGCTTTTCAAAACACCGATTAATTGGTCTCGATTTAAGAGGGGTCTTAGAATTAGATATGTCCTGGATTAGACGGCGAAATGTATCCCAAAAAGAAAACGCCATGTGCTATGTTATTCTATTATACAAATAAGTCATCATAATTCATCGGTTATATTATCAAAACTACAGTACGTTCCTTATCCTTACCTAAACCAGACGTATGGTCTCTCAGCCACTGAATGGGACTTTCAATGAATCTACCAATGCTCCAATTTTTATCATCATTAGTTGTATCTTGTTCAACACAAATGTCGTGATCGAAATCACATTGAAAACCTAAAAAAAAAAGATCCAGTTCAGTTATAAAATTTGAGAGTACTCTAGAGAATTTTTTCCCTAATGTTTTCTACTCAAACTAGCAGTTCGGGATTAGGATTTCAACATTGAGTTTTAAATTTCAAATGTAAAGAAGAGGAATCTGCTAGCGCGTAAAAAAAATTACCCCAACTGTGATTTTAACCCGGATTTCTGATATCTATGCATAGACAGCAGCTCCTGGCAAGTTTAGCAAAACAAAAATAAAATGAAATCTTGAGGCAAACATGCTTATTTATGCATTTTTTTTCAAAAAATTCCTTCAACTTGAATCCTCCATCACCCATTTGCTCTCGGCCGAGGTTATTTGCAAGGCAAGCCGTGCGTACAACTCTAAATCGGTTATTCGCACGGCCTGCTGTGCGAATAAGTCTAAAACGGTTATTCCCACGGCAGCCCGTGTTTTATTCGCATAGTCGGCCATGTGAATAACTTCAAAACGGTTATTCGCACAGCATGCCGTGCGAACAACTCCAAAACGGTTATTCCCACGGTACAGCAATATTCGCGTTATTATATGCATATTTTAAAAAATAAGTAAAGATATGTAGCCTAAATAAGAAGTAAATATAATATATAAGTATATAAGTAGAGCCTATAATATAGAATTAATATTTTTATATAAATATATATATATATATGAAAAAAATATATATATTTAAGATATAATATTTAATATATATATAATTATATATATAAATATATAAATATTTATATATATATGAAATATTATAAGTAATATATATATATATATGTATATATATATATATACATTATAATAATATACTTATTTATTTAAGATGTATTGAAAATATATTTAAGATATACATATACAATATATAGTGTAGACGCTCACTCGCTCGCTTATCCTTTAACATTTGATGTTTTGATGGTTTGTTTTGATTTGATTTATTCAATTTCGGCAAAAAAAGCAGTTTTTTGTGACTAAAGACCCACCGGTCCTGACTCTGTCTATTCATTGACATTAAAATATGCCGCGGAATTGATTTCCCCACCAATATTCAACTTAACATGTCAGTTATCCGATTCCTTCTGCATTCTCTATAAAGAATACAGACGTTTTAATAAGAATTAAAACAATGTTTTGTCTAAAATGGGAGGATGCTAGCGATTAAAATATTTTTTTTTTATCGAAAGTAAATTTAGCTAGGGCCCAGTCTACTACTATTGCGGTAGACCACGCTGCTGCTGCACTGTCGGTCGGTTCGTACTACTACTACTACTCACTAGGATACTATATTACACTTTGGTCGCCGTCAGTATGATATATAGCTAAGCTAGGTAGTGGAAACTAACACCTGATCTACAATAGTTTAAGAAATTTGTCAGTTTTTTTTTTTTTTTTTTTTTTTTTTTTTTTTTTTTTTTTTTTTTTACAAATACCCCTTGGTATTAAGGGGTTCGTAAAAGTTTTATTAAAACAAGCCTATCCACCGGTCGGATTTTTTAGTCTGGTTTTGCCTCAATTCCTGTTTAGTGACGTCGATGGCCTCGAAGCTGCCTAACTGCTTTATCTGGCTCTAACTTGGCATCGAACGCAAATAGGGAAAATCGTATCATATTTCAAGATTTAGAGGTGGGTTAATCTCGACGTGAACCAGGCTATTATGATATAAAGTTCTTTAAAATGAATTTATTAGAATGTCTACAAGCGGTGGCAAGTTCATTGCGTTTATGTCAACGGCGGTGGAAGGGGGTGGGGGACAGGGTGCATTGGCCCACCAATTTTTTTACTGATGGGTCTGGCCCCCAACTTTTGTAGCTATTCCCAGCACCAGTAACAAATATTTCACGAACGCAGCAATTTCATTATTATTATTATTATTGTTATTATTATTATTATTATTATTATTATTATTATTATTATTATTATTATTATTATTATTATTATTATTATTATTATTATTATTAATTTTATTATTATTATTATTATTATTACTATTATTACTATTACTATTATTACTATTACTATTATTACTATTACTATTACTATTACTATTACTATTACTATTAC